AAACCTAGAACCATCTTCTTGAACAATTCTCTTTGTAAGGTGCTTTTTCATGATCATTTTTGTCCTACAAAAACCATCGGCCTCTGCAGAACTATCATGATTTTCTGTAAAATGACATCATCCCTGGACCAAATTCAATAGAGTTGTGCAGAATTTGCAACTGTTCCCAAAAAATACTATGCAGAAGGAAGGAAGGAAGGATCCTAAATTTGAGCTCAAACCTCAGAAAGGATTTGAGTGCAATATCTAGTGGGTGATGCACTGCCAGAATAACTGTATAATAGGTTTCCCATTATCCTTAGTAAAAATATATATATCTAGATCGCGTTTTTTTAAGAATCTGTTCTATGCTATTCATGCTTTGTGTCTAGGGTCTGTCTATGTCTGTGTGGCTTCATGCAGTATTGGACGTCTTTCCCATGAACAGACCGATAACCAAGAAGTAGTGCTGAGGGTCTCCTTTCAAAAGCGAAATCCAGGGGACAGTAAGGGAATCAGAAAATGAGACTTTCTGAATGCTGAAGAAAAAATAGGCAGATGAATTTGTTTCATAGCTCAAAAAGTCTTCTATTTAAAATAGCAGAATGAAACCAAGCCTTTTTACCACCAAAGGTAAAGGTAAAGGTTCCCCTTGACCATTGTCCAGTTATGTCCGACTCTAGGGGGAAGTGCTCATTCGTGTTTCCAAGCCCATTTAAAATAGCAGAATGAAACCAAGCCTTTTTACCACCAAAGGTAAAGGTAAAGGTTCCCCTTGACCATTGTCCAGTTATGTCCGACTCTAGGGGGGGTGCTCATCCCTCTTTCCAAGCCAGCGTAACTAGACACCGAACACCGTTACCTTCCCACCATAGTGGTACATATTTATCTACTCGCATTTTTAAACATGGTTTCAAACAGCTACGTTGGCAGGAGCTGGGACAAGCGATGGGAGATCACTCCGTCTTGTGGATTTGAACTGCTGGTCTTTAGACCTTGTAGCCCAGAGGCTTTGCGGTTTAACCTGCAGCCCCACCACGTCCCTTTTCCCACCAAAGAGAACAGAAAAATCCAATAACAGCTGAAAAGAATACAGAGAAACATGACTTGAAGGTGGCAAAGCTTACATTGTATAGAAGCCAACAGAATGTATGCAAACAACTTGAAACAAAAGAACTGAATATTTGCATATTAAAAAGGTGACAAGGTGGATTTTTTTTGTTTTTTTAATGCATGATGACATGCTGTTCCAGACAGGTAAGAAGAGTGCTAAATAGGAAATATAATCATTGAATAATAATAAAATTATTACATTCTTTGGCACATATGAAGCACAATCCTTGTATTTTAACACAATCAGTATCAAGAAAGATAACCCTTTTGTTCCCTTAAGTCATCTGTCAATCTAGATTCAGAATGTCAGTTTATTCTTCCTCTCCTTGAACTAAACCTAAAGAACATGGCCAAACATGTTCTGATGAATCGAGTCAATGACACCACTAACTGAGCACTGATTTGTACCTCTTCAGCCTCCCTAATGAACTTAGTTTAAAAATTGTACATGAGAATTCTTTGACCACTGCTACCATCATATTATTGCTATATTTTTGTGGGGCTTTTTGCCAGCTTAAAATTGCCAAAGAACTGCAGAGGAAGAAATACTTACTTTACAACATCAAAAAGGTCCCGAGAAGGCGGTTCCTCAAAAGAAATTTCATGGAAAGCATAAATGATTTGAGTAAGAATCCCCCCAGTGAGGAGGACACCAGGCTGGTACCACTCATGAGGAACTGGGAGGACTTCTTTCACAGAACAACTCATAGTCACCCCTTCTTTGCACACAGAAGAATGGAAACTGAGGAATTGCGACCCTTGACCATTATCTGAGATGAACATTGATGGAAAATACACAGAAATGGAATCAACAGAGCCCTCCCAGCCTCTTCCAACCCAAATACTCCCTGCATCAATTCTGCAGGAGGATTTTTATATTCTTGTTTTCTGACTTGCTTATTCATTCACTTCTAAAATACCCTGGAAATCCTCTCGTGATTTAGTCTGGTGAACAAATTATAATCATTGTAATAATCACTAAGAGAAGCAACTACGTCTTCCATCTTTAAAATCCAATAGGTGGGTCACTTGGGAATAAAAACTGTTAGATATTTAAAGTTGTTTCAATAATGGTGGAGAGGACTTAGTCTAATTCCAATGGGATAAAAAGTTGTAAATGTGTTGCAGACTGCCACCATAAGCAACCACCAATTAAAAGTATTTGCCTGAGAGGAAGCCATTGTGTTGATTCGGTAGGTAAAGCCGTCTTAGATAGTAATGAAATGGCTGTCATTTTC